AATAGGCACATATGGACTCTTTGGGAATGGTACATGGGACTATCTCAGACTTAGCCTTTCTCTTTACCATTTGGTCAACCGAGTTGACTATGGCCGATCCCTTTCTATTGGGAAGAGAAAGTTTTTCTGGATTTCCAGTGTCACCATTGTCAATGTCCATGAAGTTTTGGGAAGTCGATCTTCTAATCAAATTTGCTTTACCAGTGTTCCAAATCATTGCTGATTCAGCAGCACCAAGCAAATAGATAAGATCATTAAAGGGTCATATCGTGATTTGTCATCAGGGAGTGACTGAAGAACCAAGTCAATAGCCAGCTACCTCGAGACTTCGACACCCGACTCTCCCGGCTTGTTAATATGTGACTTAATCTCCAAGACCTAAGCACATATAGACTTTGTTTGCCAATAGGGATTGAGTGACTTAGAACTTATCAAGTCTTGAAACTTGTGGGATAGGGAGATTTATTGGAGGAGGTGGAGGAAGTGAAGCATGATTTCCAGTCCCACTAATGCACAACAAAGGGATTGATCTTTCACCTTGATTGCCATTTGGGATATCATCTTCATTAGGATAGCTTGTTCCTAAATATTTGGGAAGACCATAGTTGTCTGAAGGAGACATCTATAAAGGAGAAATTCAAGTTAGTTGATTTAAAGTCCTTAATATAACACCTTGATCTTTCACTAATGCACAACAAAGGGATTGATCTTTCACCTTGATTGCCATTTGGGATATCATCTTCATTAGGATAGCTTGTTCCTAAATATTTGGGAAGACCATAGTTGTCTGAAGGAGACATCTATAAAGGAGAAATTCAAGTTAGTTGATTTAAAGTCCTTAATATAACACCCAATATGAAATATTAAGGCTAGGATCCAACAACCTATTTATAACTGGAAGAGGGATGCCGTAATCCGAGTTATAAAATAGTTGAAGGTAGGTAAATGACGATTTACCAATTTCCACCATGAAAAACGAAATATAATTAAGTTTTAATTGGATTTGAAACTCCTAGATCTTTTGAGATACATTGAACTTTCAATGGCATGTTTGAATCTCGATTGTGCCCTCTCAAGTTTGTGACTGGGATGCCGAGGATCACAAACAAGGTGTGAATAACCATGCAAATTGACTTGGTACCCTTAACTTTATCACCTAATCGATGTTCCGGTTAACCACACACACTCCATCGATCTATAATATAGTCAAGTTACCCTTTTCCACTCTTACTAGTCCTTATTAGTGTGCCGGTTAACCACACACGCTCCACTAACGACTTTCATGGGTTAGCACCTATTTCACATTTTCCTAAGTAACTAAGATTGAGAATTAATAAGTGTTTAGTTACTTAGTATTTATCATTATAATTTTAATGAAGGGAGAATTATAGTCCTTTCCTACCCGTTCGGCTAACGACCCTCCACCAGTCAAGGAAGCGGTGGGTGAGAGTGGACACCCACTAAACTGCCATTTTATAGGCAGTAACCTTATACCCCCTTATAGACCGGCTTCGTGAATGAGGCCTACTAACGGTAAGATTGACTTTATTTTATACATATCTATATAATTAAAATTATATTAATAGTATAAGGGTGTATTTTAAACATTTAACATACTTGGTGGTTTAATCTATTAATTAAACTATACTCTTAATTTAATTAAACTTAAACCATGTCTTTTTGGAATTATTAACTCTTTTAATTAAACAATTTAATTAATTTAATGAAGTCCATAAAGTTTGAATTTTAACTTTTAAAATTGTAGAGTTTGGAATTAAAGCATTAATGTGTATGAGACTTTACAAATTCCAAAACTTGAGGGCAAATTTTGAAAGTATTCAAAACCTTTCATTTCATAACTTATGAGTTTAATGGTTCATTAAAATTAAGACTCTTCATTTTTATGTAACCTCTTATTCTTTAATAAAACTTTTAAAAAAGTGACTCTTAAACATCCATAACTTGAAGGCAAGTTATGGAGTCATAAAATAATTAAATGAAAAAGACTCTTCATTTTTATGTAACCTATGGCACTTTTATGATTTTTTAAGATTCATAAATGTGACCTTTTATGTAACTTGAGGACAAGTTACAAAAACACATTTTATGAACTAACTCTAGATTAATTTGGATTGAAAACAACTAAAACACAATTTTTTTTTTTCATTAATCTAAACTAACTCATAAATCAAGGAAACATAAAACTCTTGGTAGTCCATAATTTGAGGACAAGTTATGGAGTTCATACAATTTCATTGAGATCAAGAATTATACTAACAAACAATTTGCACATAATTCCTATGATCTACCAAAACTCATAAGCATGAACATTCATAATCAACATTTTTCAAGAATTACATAAACACATATAAAAACTTGAAACTTTGATTATAGCATTGAAATTGGTTTAGCATAATCATTACCACTTAAAAATAGGTTTTATAAGTCCAAAACAGTCAACGGTAATGATTATAGATCAATTCCAGCCCCAAAACTCGAAGATATGTTGTTTGGGGGTCCAACTCGTCGAGTGCATGAACCAACTCGGTGAGTTGGATGCATTTTGCCTTGGACTCGTCGAGTCCATCAGTGAACTCGGCGAGTCCACTGTCCCAGCAGCAAAAAAAACTTCGATTTTAAGCAATTTGCATCAAGTATAAGTGAAAACAAGCCTAGGCTTTGATACCACTGTTGGGTTTTGAGCATTCTAACACTCCTATGGTGGACATGCAACCCTAAATACCTTGGATCTATGTTTTCTCTATTATACATGCAAATATCAATTTTCCAAGGTATTGTTCTAACTAGCATAATATAAAGTACATATAATATAAAATCTAGTAGAATTACATACCTCTTGTTTGGTGCTTGATTCCATGGAGCTCAAGAGCCTAGTGCCCCAAGTGTGACACCTCAAATGGTTCACACAACATCATAAACACTTGGAATAACTTGAGAGAAAGTAAAACACTTCTAAAATAGGTTTGCCCTCACTTGTTTTTCTAGTAGCCGATTTCTTCAATAATAAGATCATTATATAGTTAGTCACAATTAGGGTAAACCCTAATTGTCATGGCTTTCCATTTCCTTGGATCCATGGGTTCAAATACACCATGGAGCATCCATGGAGCATCCTATGGGTTTTAGCCCAACTTGATAATCTATGGAGCATTAGCCCACTATATAAGTATGGATGATTTACACAATCAACCCATATATTTAATTAGTCTTCTTTTGATCACTTAATTAATTCTAGATTAATTCCTGATCAATACTAATTAAATAATCTTATTAATATATTAGAACTTATAATATATTAATAAACCTTAAGTGTTATTTCTCTCATTTTAGTCTATCCAAATGAATGATGCCATGCAACCCAAATGGACCATGCCGGGTCGGGTCAAGAATATACCAATTATAGTTATGGACTTAGACACTAATCCAACATTTTAGTCAATTGAGACGAATTTAAAAAAGGAAAATTCCAAATTTTTTGGGAGAATTAATTACCTTCAACTTTAATTTTTATGTAATTTTTAATCATACCCGATTTCACTATAACAGAATGACATTCTGTTAGAATGATAATATCATTCTTCAAACGAAATAACAACATTTTTTATTGAAATAACTTCTCGAAGAATAACAATTTTTTGGATACAAGTTACAAAATTTCATCATATTCTTAAAAAAAATTGTATACTATTTTATAATAATGAAACACTCACTATCAACAATTAAACACAATTTATTGATAAGTCTACCTGGATATTCTACCAAAATATACTAGTATTACCTATTGTCTTATCATTTTATTGTAAATTATTCTGTCAGAATATAACGATGAATATTGCTTTCACTAGTGACTATTGTTCATCTCCATCCCACACATCATCATCCAACCTTCATGCCCTTGATCATCATGTGCCATTCATTCATTCTATAAGAATAACTGCCATGAAATAAAGCATTTTATGATAATAGTAGTCATGAAATCGAATTATGTAAGAATAACATTATGTGTTAACGCTTTTATATGATAAATATTAAAACGAGCTTCAGTAATTCTAAGAGAATGCATACCACATGGTCAGATTCTCTTTCAGGCATTTCGACAAACACCTATCGTGCAGCATATGACCCGATATCATATGAAAAATATTTTATTGCATCACCATGGTAAAAAAATGAAAAATGTAAAGAAAAAGTTGATTGATAACAAAACATTAAAATTTAGCCAATATGGGTATATTTGTAATTTGTCCAACATCTAGAAGATTGAAATAATGCCATAATGGGTATACCTATTCCAGTTTCCAATAGCCTCTCCAATTCCAATTCCTAATCCTTCCCAAACTAACTTCAAAAATCAAGAAAAAATATTCAGATGATGAAAGTATGCAACTAATGATAGAATTAAGTCATGGAATTATACTGAACTTGAGCAATGACTTGAGCAGCATCTTGCCTATTCCAACATTCAGTTATACTACCTATACAACCCTAGAGAATTGGGTTACATTCATTTGATTTTAACTCAAAATTTAAAAACATTAAGAATTACACAAAATAAGAAGTTTGAGATGTTATTATTTACCTATTTCAAAAAACATTGTTGGTTTATTTGTAATTGGACCATGATGAGTAGCCTCCAAAGTGATTTACAACATATAAGATGAAAAGAGTGTTTATGTTACTAGCTAATAGGATATATTGAGCAATAATGTCAAGAAATCTTGCTGCAAATTAGGTTAGAGTTGTTTCCCAGTATTGTAGATGATTAATGAGGTATCATGTTCAGGATAAAAGTGCAAGTAGGATGTTGATTTAGTGACAAAAACTAAGAATGTAAGATGTTATGAGTTTCTTTCTAGAATTGAAGTTAATAGTACCTCGAATTCAGGAACCAAGTTATGAGATTGGGCAAATTTTTTTAAAAGTATCAACCATGGTTTCATTCGAGGGCAAGGAATTGCTGCCCATCTAGGTTTTCCTCCTTATGGAGGAACATTTTCTTCTTTTATATGAGGCACACCTAATCAAATACATTATATTAAGCTTTGAAATCGACTAGTGTATCATGTTAATGGATAACTATTAGTCGTTAATGAATGAATTAGAGTAATACCAATTGGGTGAATGGTGAGAGCAGGGCGATTAGTGATAGCAGTGTATTTTCTGAGGAAGATGATCTTGTCGACAACCTCAGATGTAACCTTTTCACATCGATTATCTAAATGACCCTCCTCTGATATCCCTTTATCGTGCTCCAATAATCTCACATCTTCGTTTACTTGGATTCTAATCCCCTTTACCAAAAGTTTATACAAAAGAAATTCGAGTTTAGAAAGGTATACAAATTAGGGACTAGAAATGGATGAGAGGTATTGGAAGTAGAGATCAATAACTGAAAGGATACGTCGGGGTTCCAATTTCCCATAGCTGAGAGCGCTGTCGCCCGTCCATACGATGTCAGGTCGGTGGTTGCTGCCACCACTAATATCACCATGTTCTATTTGATGATAGTTGAGTATGTAATTTGGGTTTAGTGATGGTGGAAATGGGAATTAGATGATTGATTAGTTTAGGAGGCACTTCACAGATGGAGGCATAGAGGGCTATATTAGACGGAGTCGATCAATGGTAGGGTTGGGTTGAAGAAGACGATATGGATTGGTAGTAACATATTAGGCAGAATTTATGGGAAATTAATCCAATATTTTAGGAATTTATTAAATATTTATTTAATAAATAAAAATAATTAATAGGTAAGATTACAATTTTACCCTTATTTAGGTTTTTGAAATGATTGGCCAACAATCATTCCTACATCCACATAATAATTAGTTAAAATATTTGAACCTACCTTTCTCTCTCTCTCTCTCTCTATGTATATATATATATATATATATATATATATATATATATATATATTGTGTGCTAGATTGCACCAATACGAATTTAGTAAAAATCAAATTATTATTTAATCAAAAAAAGATATTGTAATAACAGTCAAAATTAGGTCAAAGATAATTCCCCTAAATATAACAAACACATAATATAATCAATTTACCTTAATCTTTAATGACATTTTCATTCAACACTACAAGTCTGCACGATTCCAAATATATATAGAACGTCTAAATCTGACTTCACATGAAGGAGTTATGATAAATTTTATCATTATAGCCTTTGTAACAAGAGGAATATAAAATATACATAGAATTAGCTATCGGAGTCTAAAATAAAGTTTTAGTACTCGGAAATACCTATGCGTGGATATAAAGAACGTTAAAAAACGAAGCTCGTATGCAAAAGTTATGATCTTCCGAAGATGTAGCTGTCTAAGGGCATGACACGTGGCAGAAAACCTAGCCGCCTTAAGTCCATGCCGTGAACAATAACTTCACGACGTGAAAGTAGTCTAGGACACTAATCGTGGCTAGAAAACACGTGTTAAGACTATGGGATGAATCATGGAAGCTCACGACGTGAACCTATCATGTTCACGACATGAATGGGCCCTGAACAACCTATAAATAACGATCAAAGCTCATTCATTCCTTACACCTTCTCCTTTCATTTTCTCTCATTTACGAAGGCTGTTTCCCTTCCCGAGCCTGACAACGACGAGCCTCTGACCGTTTAGATTCTATAGATCACGCTAGTAGGGTGAGTTTCACGGCCCTACTTTTTAATGTTTTCGAGGGAAAATGCATGTTAATTGTTATATAAAAGTTATGTTTATATGATAGTATGTTCGTATCAACATAGATAGTTATATTAACCACGATATAGTTGTTTTGTATGATATATACCTAGAATATATCTGATATTTTGAAGTCATACAACTATCTTAAACTTGTTAGCATGTTGTTATTATAGATTTAACTAATATAGACCCATAGTTATATTCAGTAGTTAAATATATATTATGTGCGATATAGTTCTGAAGTTATACTCGGAAGTTCTATATACTAATTGTTTAGTATGTTGTTATTACTGGCTTTATGTTTAGATAAAACCTGGTTTTACTTCAAGTTATAGTTGTTGTATTGCCTAAGTATTATGAAATTAGGAGTAATTTTTAAAAGCATAGCCTAGTAACTTAGGGTATTAGACACGAATATTCTTTTGTTGTTAGAATTATAGGAAGCCGACAAAGTCTACATGAGCTATTTTATTCACCAACTAAGATTGGGGATCTTACGGGAAATCCTCTAAACTGTAACTGTTAATCCCGTGTGAGCGAGGAAGTTGTGTATAAAACTATACAGGTTGATAACCCCACTCGTGGTTGTTAGCTACAACCCAACTTTTGGCAAGTGACGAACTGTCCTTTTATTTGCTTATTGATCCAACGTCAATGAAGCGTACGGTGTTTTCTTATATGGGTGGTATCGTTCGTGGTACCCTAGTTTTATGACATCAATGGTGGAAATCCTTCGTGGAACCATTGGTGGGATTTTTGTCAGAGGTCTTGTATGTCATAGTAGCGGTTACAAACTCATGGTAGCAAATTGTTAGAAACATTATACTTTGTCGTTATACAAGTATTAATGTTAAGTACAAGCTTCCCAATCACTTGTACTCTAGGTACAAGGAATTTATAGGTAAATAATATTACCTAGTATATATACTCGTATAGAATTGAAATATGATTTATACGTAGTAACCTTCCTTGATTTAAGTATATGGAGATTTTAGGTATATAATTTATTTGGTAAGTAAACCAGTATACCTAGGATATATATACAATATGTTAGAGATAAGTATGAGTTTGAAAGACATTTTTAAACTATGTTTTATACTTTTCGAACTTGGAAAAATACTATTTTCTCAGAGTCAAAACTTGTAGACTCACCAACTTTATGTTGACGTATTTTCAAAACACATGTGTTTTCAGGAACTTGATAAGCTGAATGTTTCTCGAACAGGAGAAGTTTTACTATTATCTTTTATCTTTGTATGGAACATATAACTGTTAAAACGTATGCAATAGTTCGGAGACTATATGATAAATACAAGGGAACAAGAATAACGTAACTTCCTATCATCAATAAAGGTATGTAGATTATAAAACTCTTTTGTACGGTTCAATATATGTTATATAACTGTGATACAAGGAAGGACATTATACTGCCCGATGTTTCCGCCCCCGGCTAGGGGTGTGACAAATATATATTAAATGATTTTCATAATTATGTGTATTAAATGATATCTATAGTTATAATTCCTTTTTCATGAAAACTAATTAAATCCGTAATTAATATCAGCAATAATATGCTTTCCGAATGAATTCACATCTAGTTTTTCATGTAGGAGTTCGTATTTTGTTTCATGACCCACTCACTCAAAATACAACAAAGTTGCCTAGAACAAGGAGAACGATAGTGCATTCTAGTAGAATGAGTGTATATTATAACAGAATGAGTGTATTATAGTAAAATACACTCTCGTTCTTCATATTCTATTCAACTTTTTTGTATTTCAAGTCAGTGGGTTCATAAACAAAACACGAACCCATACATGAAAACCTATATGCGAATTCATTTTGAAAGAATATTGTTGCTGACATTAGTGACGAATTTAATTAGTTTCCATAAAAAATATAATTATAATTATAGATATCATTTAATATATACATACATTTATGGAAATCATTTAATATCTATCTTTATTTAAATAAATAATTATCTAATTTTACTAAATTCCTATTGATGCATTCTAGCACACAATAAATATAAGAAACACATGAACCTAACGCTAGAGCTAGGTTCAAATGTTTCTCATCTATTGTGTGTTAGAATGCACAAATAAGAATTTAGTAAAAATTAAATTATTATTTAATCAAATAAAGATAAATATTAAATATTTTCCATAATTATATGTATATTAAATGATATCCATAAATATAATTCATTTTTTATGGAAACTAATTAAATTCGACATTAATATTAGCAATAATATTATTTTAGAATAAATTCGCATCTAATTTTTCATTTATGAGTTCATATTTTGTTTAATGACCCACTCACTCGAAATACAACAAAGTTTCCTAGAACATGGAGAACGATAGTGTATTCTAATAGAATGAGAGTATATTCTAACATATTGAGAGTGTATTCTAGTATAATACACTCTCGTTCTTCATATTCCATAAAACTTTGTTGTATTTTAAGTGAGTGTGTCCATAAACAAAACACGAACTCATGAATGAAAATTTAGATGCGAATTCATTTTGAAAAAATGTTGTTGCTGACATTAGTGGCCAATTTAATTGGTTTCCATAAAAAATAGAATTATAATTATGGATATAATTTAATATATGCATACAATTATAGAAATCATTTAATATATATCTTTATTTAATTACATAGTTATTTAATTTTACTAAATTCATATTGGTGCATTTTAACACACAGTAAATGTAAGAAACACATGAACCTAGCCCTATATATATATATATATATATATATATATATATATATATATATATATATAATGTTATACTTTTTAAATACTAAGTTTATTTTTTAATCTATACATTTTTTTAATCGAGAAGTATTTGGTTCAAAACCTATCAACCCGTTAACAATTAACCCGGTGGAATCGGACCGGGCCAGAAAAAAACTGGAACCGGAACCGCTGTATTTGGTCCAATTCTTGGTTCTCCGTTACCCATTAAATCGTTTTTTGGTTGTTTGGTTTTCGATCCGGTTCGGTCGGGTCCGAAATCGAGCACTTCCCTCATGAGCACTTATAGAACTAAATGGGAACCGAAACTTTGGTATTCAATCTGGTTCCTGATTCTCCATTTTCCACTAAATCGGTTCTTGTTTTTTCGGTCATTAGTCTATTTCGGTTCGGTTCCAGATCGATCCTCATCTTTACTCTAAACATTGTACTTCACTCTAATTAAAGGAATACCTTGATGTGGCAAGCATGTCACCAAAAAAAATCTCAATCATCAACAGCATGTCTACTACAAGGAAAACGAGCATTAGCGGCGACAAAAGTCGCCGGTAATAAGTCAAGTTGTCGCCGGTAATAGTAATAGTGGTGACGCATCACCGGTAATAAGTCGCTGCTACTACTTCGTCGCTATTGATCAACTTGTCGCCGCTAATGACAGATGTCGCCGCTAACGAGGTCTGTCGCCGCTAATAACGAAGTCGCTGGTAATAACTCTGTCGCCGGTAATAACAATTTTCATTTTTAATTTTTTTTTTAATTAACGATTTTGGTTGCCGGTAATAATGTCCTCGGTAATTATATAACAACATTCGATTAAATATCAAAAATAATAGTGTCGACGCTAATTACAAAACAAACATCCGATTATAATTAATTAAATATCAAAAGTCATAATATCCGATTAAATATAAAAAGTAATAATGTCGCCCGGTATTAGTGTCGCCGGTAATTACAAAAAACAACCAAAGTTTTACAATCTACCAAGTAGCAAAGCGTGACAACGTATGCAAATAAAACTCATCCCTACATACC